AAGTATATATTAATATTCGTTATTAGTCGTTTCTCATTTTCAGTAGTACCTACAATTTTTGTCCAGCAGAATTTTATATAAGCATTTAACCTCAACTTATGGTACGTGAGTTATAAGCTAAATCACTTTTGAACTCTTAGTGCGCAATTACACCGTCGGTATATCTTTTTTGAAGACCTGTAGCTTGAATTTGTCACCAATTGAGACAAATTAAAAAAAAAAAAAGAGGAAGTATAGGTTTTACCATAATAATGTTGCACAGCATAGGTATCACTGTATCAGTGTACCTTCTCATTAAGTGAGTCGCTGTAAATTTGAATTCAATATTAAACATAATATGCAAAAAACAATTCTGAGCGAAGACGGAAGTAGGTATAGGTATTTGTATTACTATTTAAAGTAATTTACGTATGTATAAGTACTATTAGTAATACGTAAGGTTGCATTAATTTTTTTGGAAAACTTTGCAATTCAAAATGTCATCATGTGGTCGTGTGTTATCGTAAAAATAATTAAATACGTTTATATAATGACAAATTTCAAGTTTCAACGAATAATATTTTTGAATTACAACAAAACAACTGAAATCATTATTTTTTGTTTGGATGTCTAATTTCGTACAAATTTTAAAAAGAGTGCTTTTATGCAATATATATTTGTGAGGAACCCTATATTACATTTTCAAGCCTTATATCTATAATTGAATTTTTTATAAATTTTCACTACAAAATAATTTGCGAATTTTCGAGATTTTGATAAATTTTTCAAATTGTTATTATAAATGTTTGCAAAAATATATCCCTATTTATCTTCAATATTYTAAATAGCTATTATAATAACTTATGAGAAATCTTGTAGATATTTTCATGTTTTCATGTTTTCATATTTTCATATTTTCATTGAGCAATTGAAATTATTTTTATCAACATTTATAGGGAATAAAAACAGAAAAATATCAAATGTAAAAAAATTTTCATAGATTCGAAATATTTTGAAATATTTAAAAAATGATATGATAAACATTTGATGTAAGTTTTAAGTATCAATGGTTATGCATTWAAAAAAAATTAAAAAACAATGAATGTTTCAGCGATTCGTTGAATTTTTTTTGTTTTTTTGAAATTATTTTGAAAAGCACTAGGAATATTTTACTTTTGTTCCTACTCTCCCAAATTATACCAATTAGATCCAAATATCCAATTTACTGCCAAAAACTACCATTGAAGTTGAAAATCTAAACTTTTTTTCTACAAAAAATGTTTCGGGATACAAAACAAAAGGAACACAGATTCATCGCTTCTCTAAAAATCTAACAACATAATTTTTTTAATAATTCTGCTTCACTAGAAATTCGTAATTTATTTCATTCATTATCATATAAAAGCTTTTAAGAAACTAACTATTACGGTCATAATAGAGTATCTTAATCCAGTATAATAGTAATTGTTTTATTGGTCGCCAAGTCACAATGTTATACATTCATACATTTTATTTATCCTGTAATTATTTTAAGATGTAAAGTAGTGCACACTTTACGATCGTCAAAGATTTGAATAATATACTGCATATCTGCATGAATATAGCATAATCTTGTTGAAATACAAAATCAGTTATTAAACTTCAGCAGAATAAGCTTTGATAAAATCTTTGTTGAAAAAATCAATATACTGTAGATATTAATAATATCATAATTGAAATAAATACAGTAAAAATAGATTTCCATCAGAGGTTTTGTCATTTTGTTAGGTAAAGTRAAACGAAAATTGGTTGGATTATTTGGTAGATTACGATGTTTTTTACGAACACGTTGTATTATACACTTTACCGCTTGAGTCAGTGGATTCTATAGCATTTGTGAGAGTGCTACTATTAGCTACATTTACTAACTACGAATACTATTTATTTTTTTTATATTTAGTTGTTATCAGAATTTTTTTATATTTTTCTGTCTACTTAAATAAACTCCTCTACGAGCTACGACATTTGTTTTACTAGGTATTGGTTACGTTTTCATAGGTACATGTTTAAGAAAAAGATAGCGAGGAAAAATTGAAAGTATA